TTGTGGGTATTGGGTATTGATATATCGATAAGGAAAACCTGCTGTTGGTTTCTATCAATGTACGTTGTTATTATTATTATTATTATTATTATTATTATTATTATTATTATTACCATTATATGTTGACCCTTCCTCATAGCACACTCTTCACCATTCAACATAACTTTTTTTTTACGTGGTATGGAAACTAGTAATTGCAGACGGCCAACATTTTGAAGTTATAATTTTAGCAATATTTATTTGTTATTGTTTTGAGGTTTTTCAAACTAGAAAATGTGAAGTAGTTCTTAAGAACGCCCAAGTTCTTAAGTAACTCTCTAGAGAATGAAACGTAAGATTACATTTGCATGTTGCAGTTTTAATTATGCAAGAAAACAATAATCGCTAATTTGGCTATTATACAAAACTACATGAACTCTATCTTAAATTTTTTAAACAATTAGGGTTGAGATTTGAGATTTACATTTTTATACTACAAGGCTGTTCACTTGACCAGAATGAAAGCAACGTGATTAATGAAGTAATAAAGTCCTGGATTTTCTGTTAGTGATACGAAAGTTAACATTCTCTAATGGTTTCGGGTCAAACCTAAAGATGTGAGCCGTTAGAATGTTAGAAAACTGAACAAAATGAATAATATTAAACGTAAATTACTTCCTGGTCACGATCTAGAAGTCTTGATATGCGTAACGAAACAATCTGACAACCGATGTACTCCAGATAGAAAAGGAACCATCTACGAGGATTCTTGCCGTCGCATGAGAGCGGAGCAAGGTAACCGTATCTGAAGTGATTAATGCGGCAATGCAAACGAAATAGGACAGGTAGGGAAGAGGTAAAGGTAGATTTAACACAGCGGGTTCCAAACTAGGGTATGTGATCCTCAGAGGGTACACTTGAAATTAAAAAAAACGTGGGAAACGATCTAATTTTTTTTACAGTATATCAAGAATTGAAGTGTACAAATTTTCAGTAAAACAGGGCAATTGGTTTATTTCTACGCATTTGCGTTTCGTGTGTTTAAGCTTTAATTCTCAAGAAGAAACCATGAAGGACCATCAGGTAGACTGTGTAGCTCTTGAGGAAGAATTTGCTGCTGCGAAATACGTACGTGCGTAAGTGATGATGCCTTTAAGGACGCATTGCACATTACATTAAACAAAGAGCAGGTGTACATTAATTGTAATGCTGTTGTGGCTAATAATCACTGCCAAGATGTCATACCAATCTGACTCATCTTAACCGTCCCCGGACGAACCATTTGCAGGTAATGAGTGTGAATAAGTCACAAGCTCTTCGCATTCAACAGATTTAACATTTTGAATTTCCCTGCAATTGGTTAGTAATTTAAGATGAATGGATATATTATACCTATATTTTTTTAAAGCTGCCTGAGTTCATTGTCACACCTCTTGTCTTTTAAAATGAACATTTTAAATTAACTCGCGAACGTCCTCTCAACGGGGCTTCAGAAATGTGCTTACCACTGTTAAAAATATTCTTTTTATAAGGAAGGAGGTGTAATAATGATCTTATGTCGTCCGTCACTGTAGAAAAATCATAGTATAGTCGCGCTTTCTTGGTATTCTGCTGGCAGCGCGGCACAACTTTGTACTATCAGGCCCTTATTGTTGGCATTGTCCTCAACGTGTCGCGCGTAGCCGGGCTGTGTGTTCGCCTATCGAGAAAATGTTGCGTCACTAGGTGATACCCACCGCATTACGGTGGGTTCTATCTCCAATGAGACTTTGCACTTCACACATGAAGCAACATTACGTTTTCGTACCTGTTTATTACCTTTGTACAAATTCGGATCGGAGGAGGGCTAATGGGTAAGAATGGACATAATTTCCTAAAAAATCTTGAAATCTGTTAAACATGTTCTTTAATCACTTAAACACTTTAAACTTTATTTATTTTTGTTATTTTACTTCTGCATTTCTCTATGTACCATATTGCGAATTATCTTCAAAAAATGTTTGCGAATAAAAATTAAAATGTTTTCACTTTAAAAAAATGTATGTTATTGAGTTGTGTCACTTTTCATATGCACCAATGATTTGCTCACTATTGCAGCGACTTCTGGTTTGGTAATTCAGAGGGCAAGTTCCGGAGGCAGATGAAAGTGCGGGCGTTGATTTAGAGGTTGGCGGGGTCAACGTGGACCGGGAGGGCGGAGGCTGATGGCCTAAGGTGGCCCCGTTGGGCAACGCGTTTCCGGCGGCAGGCGCCGACCGCCTAGCGGGGGCGGAGGCGGGCGACACGCGCGAATTCAGATCGCGCGATAGGCAAGCGCGCTTATATCCAATTGGCCTGTAGCTAAGAAAGCCTACCGCACGCGCGCGGGAG